GGGGTAATACGGGGTCGTATGGGGTGCTATGGGGTGGATATGGAGTGGGTATGGGGTGCTGTGGGGTGCTATGGGGTGCTAAGGGGCGCTATGGGTGGTGTGGGGTGCTAAGGGGCGCTATGGGGTGGTGTGGGGTCATATGGGGTGCTATGGGGTGCTGTGGGGTGTTATGAGGTGCTGTGGGGTGCTGTGGGGTGCTATGGGGTGCTATGGGGTGGTGTGGGGTGCTATGGGGTGCTATGGGGTGCTATGGGGTCATATGGGCTGATATGAGATGCTATTGGGTGCTATAGGGAGGTATGGGGTGGGTATGGGGTGCTATGGGGCGCTATGGGGCGCTATGGGGCGCTATGGGGTGGCACGGACCCTCAGCACGCGGCGCTGCACCTCCCGGTCATAGCCGTACAGGCAGCCGTCGTTGGCTCCGCCCCACACCTCGCGTCCGTCCGGCCCCATAGAAAGGGAAAAGACCGCAAAGCGCCGCTCCTCCGGTCTGTGGGGCACAGCTGGGCCTCAGCCTGACCCACTGAGACCCATAGGGACCCACAGGGACCCATAGGGACCCATAGGAACCCATAGGGACCCATAGGGACGCATAGGGACCCATAGGGACCCATAGGGACCCATAGAGACCCAGAGAGACCCAGAGAGACCCATAGAGACCCATAGGGACGCATAGAGACCCATAGGGACCCACAGGGACCCATAGCGACCCATAGGGACCCATAGGGACCCATAGAGACCCATAGGGACCCATAGGGACCCATAGAGACCCATAGGGACGCGTAGAGACCCATAGGGACCCATAGAAACCCATAGGGACCCATAGGGACCCATAGGGACCCATAGAGACCCATAGGGACCCACAGGGACCCGTAGAGACCCATAGGGACCCATAGGGACCTATAGGGACCCATAGAGACCCATAGGGACCCATAGTGACTGGCAAAGACCCATAGAGACCCCATAGAAACCAATAGAGCCCCATAGAAACCCCACAAATCCCCATAGTGACCCCACATTCACCCCGTAAAAACCCCATAGAAACCCCATAGAAACCCTACATTCACCCCCCATCCACCCCCCATCCACCCCACATCCACCCCCCATCCCCCCCCAGCCCCCACCTGAGGTCGAGCGCCGTGTGCTGCTCGCCGTCCCCATAGATGTCAAAGACGTGCACTGGGCGGGGCCACAAAGGAGGGAAGGGGGGCGGGGCTTATTAGACCACGCCCACCTCATTTGCAAGCTCACCTTCATTAGCGTCACGTGACCCCAGCGTCTCTAAGCCCCTCCCCATCTAAAACCCCTCCAATCAAACCCTGAGCACCGCCATAAGCTCAGCTCCTCATAACAAGTCCCGCCCACCTCTATGCCCCGCCTCCTCCTCCGGAAGCCCCGCCCCTAAGCTTCTTCCTCTACGCCCCACCCCTTCCCTTAAGCCCCGCCCCAAAGCCCTTCCCAGTTTTGCTTCTCCCATCAAGCTCCGCCCATCCCGGAAGTCCCTCCCCATAAGCCCCGCCCGTCCCCTTAAACTCCGCCCATCTTTTGAAGCCCCGCCCATCATGGAGACCCCGCCCTTTATAAGCCCCACCAGTTCCCGGATGTCCCATCGCCCCTTGAAGCCCCGCCCATCTCCTGAAGCCCCACCCCCTCCCGGAAGTTTTGCTCCCCTCAATGCCCCGCCGCTTCCGGAAGTCCTCCTCCCCTCGTCGCCCCGCCCCTTCCGGAAGTCCCCTTCCCCTCGACGCCCCGCCCCCTTCCGGAAGTCCCCCTCCTTTCGTCGCCCCGCCCCCTCTAGGAAGTGCCAATCCCCTCGACCCCCCCTCCGCCCTCCCGGAAGTCCCCCTCCTTTCTTCACCCCGCCCC